CTAACAATAATAAACTTTATTATTAGTTGTTCTACACGTTTATATATTAGTGCCTAAAATTAGAAATTAATCTTAAAGGGGTATATATCGCAATATTATTAGAAATCTCCACTTTTGAAGGTTCATTTATAAGACAAATGAAATTAATAAAGCAAACTATAATATATTAAGTTTTTAAATGTAAGATCTTATAAACTTAAAGTCTAATATAAGAAGTGCTAAGCAATGATAAGATATATAAAAGAAGAAAGACTACAGTCGTATATTTCTCTACAGGTTCAACAATATAGAGACTTCAGACTCATCCCAATATCTATCATCTCTAGTAAGTAGACCCACTACAATACATCATCATATAGCAAATACTTCTCCTATGCCAAAGACAACATAAGATCTAAATAAATCCAGAACATGCGGTTTATCATTATTATTGCGGTTGGCATAGTGACTTCATTTGCTTTGCCAGAGCAGAAACAATCTCTTACTTCACGTGAGATATCTGCTCTTGCCGATCAACCCAAAGCAGTATCGCTCGAATTCGGAAAGGAATATACAGTAGATGAGATCCTTGCTCTTCACCAATCAGTACCTGTATCAGATCCTAGGAGTACCATACCCAATCAGCTATCTCAAAGTCTTAAGAAACGAGCACCACCTTCGATAGGCACGTCGTTCTATGCGGCCTTCCAATGCCCAACTTATGGATCGGTCACTGTTACGCAAAAAACGAGAATCGCCATTACGCGCCGCCGAAACCAGGACAATCTTGTAGATTGGACAGGTATAGACGAGGTTAGTAGTTGGGGTTTTGGTGACCAAACTCAATATGGCGTAAACGAACCTCAAACTTCAAACACAGCTACGTGGAACTTCTGCAAGTCTTTTGGAACAACTATCTGTGCCTTCACCTTTGCAGCCCAATACACTACCTATTTTCTAGGAGGTTATAGTGCTGTGGGGGTGGACGTGGGAATTCCTACATTGCGAGAAGTCTGTGTTACAGTACGAGCACGTAACACATGCCCAGCTATCGATATCTCGCAAGCTGTAGGATGCCAGGTTCAAGCTACACGCAAGACAGGGATAATGTAACCTGCCGGTAGCCGTCCGGGGTTAAGGGTTAAGATTGTTAAATGTTGAAGGTGAAGAAAACGTTTTAGGTGGCTGGGCCCAGCTACTAAATATTTCACCTTTAGCGCTATCGCGGTTATCTATACTACTATTTAGATAGGACTATTTTACTATAAAAGCGTCTACTGTCTTATAAAAGGCCCCTCTTCTTCGCCCTATATTTCTCTATCCTATTTTTACTTTTACTTCTCTTCTCTTAATGAAGCTACGAATACGGGTGAGGGTAAGCGCAGCCTATATATATTAGGTTGCTGGCTTTGCTATTAAAAGTGCTTGAAAATTAGCCCGTGCGTAAGAAATCTTACCTTAAAAGTGCGCTAAAAGTACCTTATAAGTGCTTATTTAAACCTATAAAGAAGAGTTAAATATAACCTTATAAGTATTCTACCCTATATATATATTAGGTATTATAATATCTATTAGATATTAGGTAAGAGTCTAAGCTTTATACTCTAGGTATTAACTCTATTCTATTCTTAATCTCTAACGGAACTAAGGTTAAAATTGTTAGGATAATGGTAGTGGAAAGAGGTGCAGAAGTTGCTACTTGTTCTACTAGTAGCTTAGCGGTATAGGTCTCTGCCTTCTACTTATCTAAGAGATTTCCTCTTTAAGCGAGGTAAAGTAGACTTTAAGGTTTACCCCTATAACTATAGAGCTACGTAAGACGCTGTATATATCTTTCTTAACTATGCGCTATATAAGGAGGCTAGTATAAGGGGCTGCGCTCTAGAGGAGCAAACGCTTAGTATACAAGAGGTTGTATTCGATAGAGAGCTATCTACGTCTACTTACGTGATGTTTATCTACTTATTAGAGAAAGGTTGTACTAAAGGGTCTAAGCGCGTTATCTAAGCGGTTATATTTAATAGAGAGCTATCTACGTCTACTTA